TGGGAGTTGAAGTCCACTCATCTTAAAGTGGCCAAGTTTGGACAACACTGCTTTAAGCAGTGCCTAAGAATCTCGCTATAATGTAGCCCAGTATTTCTCAACCTTGGCAACTTGAAGATATGTTGGACTTCAAGTTGCCAAGGTTGAGAAACACTGATGTAGCCATTATGATATGCCATCTGACAATGATCAAAGTAATTATCTTGTCCAACCCTTTATCTTGACTCAAGTGGCATTCCTAGAGCAAGATAATTGAACAGTATAATGCCCTTAGAATCGAGTCCCATTTCTGTACTCTGATGCTTTTCAACAGAGCTGGTGTTTTTCTAAAAGTAATGTTGTCAAGAAATCACATCAAAGTTATCAGATGGAACTATGAGCTGCAAAGCTATTTGATGCCACTTAAAAAAAAAAAATCCCTGGAAGTTTTGCCCAGTACACAATTTGTTCCGTTTGTATCACAGAGTAAAGCTCAAGACTCTATTTTTAAGACAGTGGTCACTTACTCCAGATTCCTTAAAGTGACAAATGAAAATAATGGTACATTAGATTGTTCCATTTGGTCTTTTAGAGACCATGCAAGAGCTACAAGCATTCCAATAGGATATAGACATCTCATAAGCCTTTCTATCCACTACCATGCATGGGTCTTCTAGTGAAGACCTTACACTTCAAACTGTAAGGGGGTACTCTTACAATACAACAATGGCCCTTCTATCCAAATAGCAAAAAACTTTCTTCTAGCAAGATAGTGCGTCCACTGAGATGTAACCAAGCCTGTCCTTACCCATGCCAATCTCTACATGCAGAAACTTTGTTTTGGGCATGCCACATTCAATCACAACATCCTCTACTTGCAGCCTCAAGCAGGATGGTCCAAGACAATTTCAGCACCTCAGTGAGAATTAGGCCTAGGTCCTAGGATTGGGCAGTCTTCTCCAACCTGGTGTTCTTAGGATGTGTTGGAATATGGCTCCAATCATCCTCTAGCAAGCATACTCGAGCCATAGCTCGGCACATCAGGAGAACACCCGGTTGAGGAAGATAGATCTTGAGCACACTTTGTGATGCCACCAATGACAATTCTAGGGCTAAACGTTTGCCATGTTTAAAATGGAAAGTGGGGAGGAATTGGCCATTGGAGGTGGAACTCTCACAGAGCAAAGACAGCAGCACATTGATTCTTTTCATACAAGGAGTTGCTGGCGTATCAAGGTCCCAGTGCAACAACCTGGACATCATTTTATGCCAGAGTCTCACCCCACGTGCCTACAAGCCCCAGACATTGCAGGGTACTATAAGAAAAAAATGATAGGTGTCTAATCTTTGGCAAAGTGCCTTTTTTTTTAGGAAGACCTGAAGGGGAGGACCTAGTTGCCCGAAAAGTTCAAAATTGAGCTCTGAAGAATGTTGGCTCAGTTCTCAGGCTAGCAAAAATGTTTTGTTTCTTCGGTTAGATTGGAAGAGGTGGGACAATATTCCAAGCTATTCAGGAGGGGCCAAACAGTTGCTGAAGGACCCTCTTTTCCTGTCAGAATTTGAAGAGGCCAATGTTGATTAAAAATAGCCATTTAAGGAACTCTCAGACTTCAGAAAATTAAATGTTGCAGCACTGAGATTCAGAGTCTGGATCGGACATTGATATTTGCCTATGACCAGTACCATTCATATCAATGTTCCAATGACATCTACGGAATGTCCACAGATCCACCTTTCTTACTTTCTTTTTTTTGTTTTAGGTTCCCTGTTTGTGTCTTCCCACTTAGGATAAGCAGAATTATATCTACACTATCTGACTGTCAAGTCGCTTGAGCTACAGTACAGGAAGAGTTTGGTGTTTGCTGAAGTGCTATTAAGATCACTTTCAAGAAAAGCTTATATTCATTTGATCTCTTGGGGCAGATCAAGAGAAAGGTAAAAAAGAGCCCCCATTCTAAGAAGAAATGGAGCGTATACAGTCCTAACCAGAATTCTAATTTCATACAGTTTGTCTGAAGGGTGGGATGGGAGTGGGGTGAGAAATAAAAAAACTCTATAGCCAATAACCAGGGACCAATCTATACTTTCATAGACAACCTGGGGAACCAATGATTGGGGACTGTACCACTTCATTCATGTATATATGATTGGTGGCAGAGGAGGAGCAGACTCCAAATATTCTTTCCCAACTAAAGGAGGTTCTCATCAGATATTTTAGACTGTTGAAAAAAATATTTAAGTGTGTAAGTAGATTTGCAGTATTAAGCTTTAAATAGATAATTTCCCCCACCTCTCTTTTTAAGTGGTACAGTCTCAGGAAAACTATGCCATGTACTTTTTTTTTTTTTTTGAATGTATAGATTGGCTCAATGTCCTTAGAAGTCAGTTACAGTACATTTCTGGTGTATTGTGAATGCTAAAGAAAAAAAAAAAGAGAGAGAGAGAGAGCAATTTCTTAGTTTGGTACAACTGGGATTCTCTACTCATTCAGTGGCACATTACACACTTTCTGAAGAATCACGCTTCATATGGGCTGGTACAGATCCCTCCCCCCGGAGATTCCTAAAATAGATTTTTAACTTTTGAGGCTCAGTGATGCGTCTCCGATTGAAGTCTGCTCTCGGATGAATCTGGGCACAGCGATCTGTCTGCAGCAGGTGGAACAGGCTGGCCATGTTTGGTCCAATTTTGGCCATCAAACTGTCTTTAATGGTCCCGACTGTTTCTTCCCCACATTCCAATAAGCTTCTCACAAGTTTGTTGTAATACCTGCAGGAAGATGATATCAGTTAATGCTCCATAAGATTTCCCCAGGCTCAAAAGAGTTCATATATATGAGGCCAGCATACAGGACGAGCACTCCTTAAGACAGGTCAGTAGCATTATGCTGATATGTAGAGATGGAGATGAAGGTGGATTCCTATCTAAGAACCCCCAACGTACTCTGCATTGCCCAAATGCAATCTGCAGGGACAATATGCCTGAACCAGGGCTCATGGTAGGGTCAGCTCTGTCAATCGGTAGCAGAAGAAAACAGAGGAAGCTTCCAACAGGGTCTCAGAAAAATCAGTTGGGTAGCACCTTTTATTAAAAGGCAAAAGCTTTCATGAACATCTTCTCATTTTTGGCTACCATAGACTGACACAGCTCTCCTGAACCCCATGGCCTGCTGATCATGAGCATCTGCCATCAAAGCCTGTTGCCACATCCCACCTAACAGTAAGGCCTTCCAATCTTTCCTTTCTACGATCCTAAAGCCACAACTGACGTACTACCAGCTACTACAATAAAAGCCCAGGTAGACATCAGAGAGCAATGTTAAAATGCCTGACCTGAAAATGCATGGTTGTAAACGTAGATGTGACACCTTCACATTTGTCCATTGAAGAGCACAAGTAAATCACATAAAACTTCCTCTCCCCCCCCCCCCCAACTTATCAGGTCAAGCCCATCTGCCAGATCTCAGACCAAAACGCAGCAAGGCTTTCTCCTGAACTGACCAACGGCATCGCTCTTTCAGCCGCTTCCACTTGCAAGCAGCTGCATAGAATGCTCTATGACAAAGAAAGAGCTTTAATTGGGGGGGGGGCTTTTTCCACACAGCAACCGCCTGAAGTCACATCAGAATGACATAGCAACATGAGGGAGACTAATCTTGTGCATTGTTCCCATAGGTTTCCCTCAGAGGCCTCGGGAAGTCAGCTCCTCCAACGATCCAGACGCTGGCGTCTTAAAAATCTGAAATATTTTTTCCAGCCCCACAATAACCGCTCCAGACATGCAAGTCATATTTTCATTTACAGAAAGGAAATTTGCGCAAGCATGGCTAAGAACCTGTTTTAGTGCCGCACATGTCAATTTTTGAAGGCGGATGAGAAAAGGGAAGGGAGGCAGTTTTAAATCCAATTAGATTCTCATCCGCATTGCTGTTTCATTCGGGGACTAGCAAAGGAAGCACCAGAGGCCACCAACTTTTATTAAGCTGGTCAAGTCAAGAATGCTCTTTCTGTCATTTTAACCTAAGGGCTGGCTGCTGGAGGTGAAGCCAACAAAAGACTTCCAGATTTTACTCATCCGGAGTCAATTAACTTGAAATGGCATAGCCATTTCAGAGATGAAGCTACAGTTTAGGAAATTGCTTGGCCTCGGCCACAGACTCTTCCTCTTTCAGTCCCTCTGGAGTATGGGGGAGATGCAGGAGACCCAGCGTGGTGTAATTGTTATGGTGGACTTGGATCTAGGAGACTCTGCTTTAAATCCATTCTTGGCTAGAAAAGCACATTTTATCATGCGGATAAAATGGAATTGAAATCCTGGAGAAAAGCAGACCTAAATCGAAATCACAACCACACACAAGTTCTCTAAGTTTATTTAGCTTGAGGGCTAAATAAATAGGAAAGATATAAAGGGTTGATAACCATAATTTATATTTTTTTATTCTTCTCTCATATCCTGGAAAAAAGTGAAATAAAAGAGGGCAATCAGCAGCAAAGTGGATGGACTCAGTACAGTGGTGATGGGGGCACCATTGGAAGACCCGAAAGACCAGGTTTGGGCAGATCACTATGGGGAAAATCTATGTGGCTATGAAGAGTCAAGGCTGACTTGATGGCACATAATCAATGTGTGTATATATGTGTGCATACATACAACCCTACATATGATGTAACTCTCCAGGTATTTTGGATGGGCAACTTGAAGCCCAAGGGCTAGATGAAGTCTCTGAGGCCCTTTCTGCAGCCCCCTATGACCCCAAGTCCTAGAATCCCAGAATGTGAGAGTCAGAGGACTTTGGAGAACATTTGGTCCAACTCCCTCCCCTGTGGTTAAAGTGTGGGACTAGGCCCGAAGAAATAGCCATGATTGTGGTCGTAGGGTTGGTATAATATACAGCTTTGCAATGAAAATTATAGATTCTCAATTTAAAAAAAAATACAGATGGAATTTCTATAAAATAAGGTAAATAAGATGTATGGTATAAGTGGGGCAATAAGAAAACACAGAAAGATACCCAAAAACACTTAGTGTTAAAATCCCCCAAAGTGCTAGTTAAATTTGATAAAGTATTTTACTTATAAAATGCCTTAATTAATAGAATACTTAAGCACTAAAATACTATTTCAATCTACCACTATTTTAATGTACTAACATTTTAAAAGTTGAAACCCAAACATTAAGGTTCTCCTACTGATGGAGCAGATACTTTCAAATTCTTTTTAAGATTACAAAGTCACTGCCCCTGATTGATTTCCAGGAGTCCAGTAAAATAATATAGCAAAAACCCTAAAGTATTGATCTAAGTAAATTCAATGCTCCTTAAGGGATCTCTGTATTCAGTGGCATCTGGAGAAGATCTGGGATACCCCTGTAAATGCTGCTGAGCAGGGATGACTGAGCATAATTAACTGAGGTTATTATTCATCATGATTTTTCAAAATTATGCTCAGTGACTTATGGGGTGTGCGTGTGTTTCAGTTTGTAACGAGCTGTGGATGTTTTAGAATTGTCTGTAACCTGTGAACGGCTGAAAGCTATGTATGGCTTATGGTGGGATATAAATGGAATGAATAAATGAACGAATGAACAAATATGTCCCCCGTCGTCATGGAAAATCACTGAATGCCTTGGGCCATTCACTCTCTCTCAGCTAAATTTCCCTCACAGGGTTGATGTTTTGGGGATAAAATGAAAGGAAATTCCCATATGGAGCCATGACCTCTTAGAGCAGGATTTCTCAACCTTGGCAACTTTAAGACGGGTGGACTTCAACTCCCAGAATTCCCCAGCCAGAATTCCAGAATTCTGGAAGTTGAAGTCCACCCCTCTTAAAAGTTGCCAAGGTTGAGGAATCCTGTCTTAGAGGAAAGGCAAGATATTCTATTAAACTAATGAAGAAATAGCAAATATTCTTGCCATTTTGAAAATGGTAGCACACCCTAAAATAGGCTTAATGTACTTTTAAAAATAGGAAAAAGCCCCTTAGCTCCCTACCCAAATTGAAGGAGGGGACAATAAAGCTGAAAATCTTTGCCCACAGTTCTGTCCCATCTCTATGTCTGAATCATTCACTGCTGCTTTGGCCCTCTCCAAATGCTGTCAGCTCCCATAATCTTCCCAAGTGAGAGGTGAAAGGACATGGAGAATTCAGCATCTGGTTCTTTCTTCCCTCAGGGATGAATGGAAAATCCATTTGCTTCAATGCGAATTTACCCAATTCAGATTTCCTGAATAGTCTTGACCTCATACAGAAGACCATTTCCTATATCTGGTGTGTATTTCTGGATCATTATGGGAACCTCTCCTCGGCTGTAGGATTTAAATTTAGCAAAGCCATTGTCCAGATCAAGTGTGAAGATTACCCTTTGGTTTTTCAAAACAGGCTTGAGAATTACAGTACTTCAGGATAAATATCAGTCTACAAAGCTTAAACCTTGCCTCCTGGATCACAAATGTCTATTCAAGCTAAACTACAGGAAGATGTGCTGACTTTTTAATGACTTCCTGCTTGACTCTTTCACCAACTTAGCCATTCTTAGTCTCTTTGGGGTGTGGGTGGGGGAGTAGCATCAACTTACTAACTAGGAAATCCTGTTGGGTTTATTTCTAGCTGCAGTATTAACCTTTTATTTCAGTCATTCAGAGGAATACATGTTCGAAGAAGGCCCAGGACTGAGCAACCCATTCTTCCAACAATGTTTTCAGGAAAGATGGAACAAGTCTAACATCCAGAAGGTTGCTTTTTTTTTTTTTTTTTTAACTACAAAGCAGCTGTAATATTGTAATAGGAAATCACAGGCCATCCGTAAGGGGGTCATAAAAGTCAAAATGATGCTTGTGACCATGTGACTGAAGCCTGCAGTATACATAAAAAGGGCTAAGCTTTGATGGGACAGTTGCTATCACCCTTTTGACTTTTTTGAACCCCAAGGATCCTTCTGACCCTGTTCTAAGGCAAACTGCTGGTTCAGCCAGCCCAAGGCTGTCTTAGTCCCCACCTCCCGATAAGTCAGGACCACAAAATTAAGAATTCCCAGCCAGCAGAGCTAATGCACGCTGCCTGGCAGTGCTTTCTCTGGGATTCACATTGCAGCCTTTTCCAATTTGACTGAGATTAAACCCAGGACTGAATTTCATCACTCAGTTGGTTCTCTTAGTTTCTTTCTAGGGTTACAAGTTAAAGAGAGAGACTCAATTCCCTTGTTCTATGTTGCTCTGAGAATCCCCATGTAATGCATTAAGGACAGTGGGTGGCTGTGAAGAACTGTAACCTTGAGGTGCAATGAAAGAACCATTCTAGGTACGCCCAACTTGCCACCACTCCATACCCACTGCTTAATCCAGCTAATGGTAGCTGTGGCTATCCGCACAGCTCTCCATGGAGAGCTCCATTGGCTGCAAGAGGAACAACAGTTGGCAAATATATAGAGCTGGCCATCAAGAGACTAGAGAAGCCACTCAGGAAAAACAGGGTGTACATTTAAATAAACTAGAATAAACAAATACAGAATATATTAACTTGTATTGATGATCTGTTCCCTGCACAAGCAACCTTATTGGCCTGGGACTTGAACACCCTTCTGCGGAAGTCCAACCTGTGTCATTTAAAGGTGCAGCAGACCTACCTGTTTGAGAAGTGGTTTGGGAGTTGGACCACTTCTGTGATGGCTTCTGGGTTCCTTTTTGCAATGCCACAGATGTCCAGCTTGCTATAACATTCTTCCTGCACCTCAGAAATCATACGCTGGAACGTGGAGCACCGGCGAACGGCCAGGAACACCTTGGACGTGATGCCATTGGCAATGCATTTCAGACTCTCCTTTACAAAGGCTTTCCCCTGCCAGAAGGAGGACAGAAGCATGTAAGTAACTAGGTTAAAACCCATGGAACATGAACTTTTGTCGTGAGTTTCAAACTCCAACTATTATTGCTCAGAGTTGTTTCTGACTTGTTCAGCATTGTTCCAGAAGACAAGCAAAAAACAGGAGATTTTGGTTGGACATCAGGAAAATTTATTGCCTCTAAGAGCTGTTCAACAATAGAACAGATGGAATTGGGAGGCTCTCCTTTGCTGAAAGATGACCATCTGTTGGGGATGTTACAGTAGTGGATGCCTGCAGGCAGGGATCTTAATCTCCAAAGACCTCTCCCAACATTTATATTCCATAACTCTATTTACAGTAACAGTGTGTAAAACTGATTAAATAATAAATTAAACACAAGGCGTACTTGAGAACACTAAGCCATGTTCACATTTTTTTTATAAAATACATTATCCCTTTTTTATTATAACAATAATAATAATAATCCCAAAGCAGAAGTTGGTGATGGATTTCCACATGGGAGAAGGTTGATTTATACATACTGTTGTCACAAGAACCCTTTTGTGCAAGAACTTTCTTGTGGGTAGGAAGCATCAAGCAACAGAATGAACTAATCTAGTCTTCTCTTACAAACCCCTTCCCCAGTCGGATTCTTCCCAGCTGGTTTGGGATTACAACAACCAGACTTCCTAGCCAGCATGACACTGAATTCTGAGAATTCAATGGATCTGGGGGCACCAGGTTTGGGAAGGCTAGTTTAGGAGCCACCAAACACAAGGGACCAGCCTTGCATTTTCCAGTAGCTTCACCATTTGAAAGACTAGTCCTCTGTGTCAGGAGTAGGCAGGCAGGGGGACTTCATATAGCAGAAGACCTCTAGATCGTTTGCAGAAGTTCAGCAAGACCTGACAATAGTTTCACAACAGTAATTAGCAACTCACTTTAAATGATATATGTAAGACCAACCATTCTTTCATTTTCTAGCCTCAGTGTTCCTCATCTCCATATTTGGCATATTTGGACAGGCTGGATTCACTTCAGCCAGAAGCCAGAGTTTATTAATCATAACGGTTAATCAAAATCAAATAAGCTCTATTATAGCTTACCAAAATACATGAAACTGAGCCCTCCCAGTAACAATAGCAAATAAATCTGCCTCAGTTATTAGTCAAAAAGGAATGGAGAAACAGTGATTTTATGTTGATTAACGAAATTGTTATACCAAGTACTTCATGTCTATTTTAGTATCGGAAAGTCCTACGTTGAAGAAGAACAGTTATTTTGAAGGTTTGTGGGTCAATGTTCTATTTTTCGTTATCATCAGTTGTCTGCAGTCTTCCACACCTCAAGTCACAAGGGAAAGAACCTCAGGTCAGTTCCAAAATCAGGAGCAATCAGGAAGGCTGCAGAGGGAGTGAGAGGGAGTGTGTACACCCCTCTTTTTGCCAACTCACAACCCTAAAGCAAGCTGAACCCCCCCCCCCAAACAAATTCTGAAGCACTCTGAGAATGAAGTAGAAAGATAAAAGCCCCCTTTGAGATGTTTCAGCAGGATGGAACGGACATTGCCGAAATTCTCCAAATGAAGAACAATGCTTCCTAGTGGCATTCAAGAGCTCCTTCCAAACTTGAGCTGCAGGAATAACCCAAGGAGCATTAGATTGGTCAAAAGAAATGCAACAGAAAGTGATAGTTTGGAAGTCTTTCTTCATAGCAATGTCAAGCTTGCTTCTCAACAAAAGGCTGTTATTCCCACGCCCAATGATCAGCGGCCCAGGTTGCATCCTGGGGAAGGCAAGGACCAGGTTGTTCTAACTCTTAGTCACCTGCATGAGGAGGAATCATATCAGGCACAGCTGGGAACACAGCTTTCCAACTTGTGAAAAATCCAATCTCCTTGCCAACTCCAAGAATGGGAAAAGCACATTTGTTTCCTCTTGAAAAAGAAAACTTCCTTTTCCACCCCACAAGGCGTCTTCTGCCAAGGCTTTACACACAGTTTGTGGGAAAAAAAATGTATTGACAGAGAACAGTTCCCTTGTCATGACTTGCTGTTCACAGAGCATCATTGCTTTGAACTGAAGGCTGCTGTCGGCTTTCCCAGGTGATAGTAGTACAAACTGTCAGCTGGGCTATTTGCAGCTGCTTAAATTTATATGCAGAACTTTTAACAGCATGGAATTAGAGAACTGGAAAGAATCCAAAAGACCATCTAGTCTAACCCTCTGCAATAGTTAGGAAAACCATTTAAACCATCGATGAGAGGTCCAGCCTCTTAAAACCCTCCAGAAATGGAGCACCTTCCATCATTGTACAGCTCTTACTGTCAGGAAGTTTTTCCTTATATTGAATTGAAATATAGGTAGCTGAAGTTAATGCCCTGTATTTCTGGCCCTAGTTTCTTTGTCCATGGAAAATTGTTTATGACCATGTTCTCTGTAGCTTCCTTCCATGGGCAAGGGATAACTCAGAATCATTCTGAGTATAACTAACCCAGTAGTCTTGCTTGGGCAGCTGGGATTGCCTGGGCTATAACCAAAGAGGTCTTCCCACCTGGCCGTGCCAAGCAACAAAACATGATCTGGCTCACCCCACATGACAGTGATTTGCACTTACAAACCCTCCAGTGAGTCCATTTGCTGGAACTATCAAAACCGACTAAATGGGAAAGAAAGCTAAAACAACTAATTATTCTTGGGTGTGAAAATGGCCCCACATTAATAACACTGCCTTACTTTTTTTACAAGGTCTTACTATGGAAAGAGAAATATTGTCAGGCAACTTAATATGGGCCTTAAAACAGCATGTCTCCCCCTTCCCTGACTTTTATGATTACACGGCCATCAGATGTATTAACTAGAGGTGTGCAGAACATCCTGGGCTGTTTCAACACCAGCATGGATGGTTCTAACCATGGAAGAGTCTGTTTGGAGTGGTTCAGAAGTGGTTCAGGAAAGCTCTTGTGAGTGCTTTATCACCCTCACAATGTTGAGGGCAGACTTGCTAGAACCTTTTTATTTATTATGCCATTGAGCCCATCTTGACTCCCGACAATGGCCAGCAAAAGTCCATGCAGCTTTCTTGGCAGCATTTTTTAGAGGTTCCTTCTTGCTAGGGCTGAGACAAAACAAGTTATTTAGCTGGCTTTGTTCCCAAGGCAGGACTAGAACTCACAGTCTCTGGTTTAGGGCCTTTAAACACTACACCAAATTGGCTCTAATTGCCTTTGAGTCCCCCTTGGTCCCTAGAGATTGCCTGGACAAGTCCATGCGGTTCAACATTTTCAGAAGTAGTTTTCCATTGCCTTCTTCCCATGGCTGAGAACCTGGCCCCAAGTCATCCAGTTGGCTTCATGCCCAACACAGAACTAGAACTCATGGTCTTTTGGTTTCTAGTCTGATTCCTTTAACCACTATGCCAAATTGGCTCTCTCTAGAACCATAGGAACTGGATTCTGAGGTCAGAAAGTCTGTGATGAAGCATTTATATTCTAAGTCACTCTGAGATTTTTCAGTGGAACAAGACATACAATGTTTAAATAAATAAATATCTTCTTCTGCAATTCCTGGTATTAATTGTATTTGAGCAAGTAAGTAAATTTAAAACTGAATCATATTTAGAATTTAACTTTTTTATTTTAATCAGGTAACTTATTTTTAATCGTTTTATAGTCTAAAACTAAGTGACTAATGTTACTAATATGTAGTGTTTTTAAGAACACCTAATTGTAATGGTTTTATCATTCAAGAAAACATATAAAACTTTTTTCCTTTATTTAAACTGATTAACAATTAACAATTTTATTTATTTAACTACAGCCAATGACCAGAAAGATTAATAAAAGAAAAATTCAGAAACAATGACCAAATACAGTGAAGACACTGTAATAGCCACATATAATCTTAAAAAATATTAGGCTTAAACCAGAGTAAGGGACAAATTGAACAAAATACAAAACATGATAAAAAGGATAAAATAGAAATACAATAAAATAAAAGAGCAAAGCAATTTCATAATGTCATCACTCCAAAATTAGGACATCTTAAGTCGTCTTATGGACATTTAGCAATTCTACTGGTGATGGGAGGATTCTGATCTGTGGGTTTTTGTTAAGGGATGGTAAAGATGTCTACATGTAAACTGACATAAAAAGGGCAATGGAAAAATACGTGTGAAAGGATCTCACATTTGTTCTGACCAGGAGGTAGCATGCCTCAGTGATGGGGTCCTACAGTTAACAATACAGTATGTATAAAAGCTATCTATCTATCTATCTATCTATCTATCTATCTATCTACCTACCCACCCACCCACCCACCCACCCACCCATCCATCTTTAGATAATCTAGCAACTTGGACTTGAGTAGTAGACAATAAATATGCTTTTGTTGTGCATAATTAATAAGTTTAAACCAAGTCAAATAAGCATAATCTTTCTACTATTATTGTGTATATTTGCCTTTTTTGGTCT